GGCCCAACGGGCGATATTCGACGAACAGGAGGACGACCCGTTCGGCTTTGGTGGGGGCCTGGACTTCCTGGGCGACGGGCCAGCCAGCGCCAACCCTGCCCCGTCGGGTACCCGCACGGCGCCCCCGACTCCGCCATTGAGAGCGGCAGCGCACCCACATGACAACGCCGCTCATTTTCAAGACGCTGACGAACAGGAGGGTGACCTGTTCAGCTTCGGTGGGGGATCGGACGCTTTGGACGACGGACCAGCCAGCGAAAACCCCGCCCCGTCGGGAAACCTCTCGACCCCTACTGCGACTCCGTTCCCGAGAGCGATATCGCCCACATACGATGATATCGGCCACCGCCAGGACGCCGACCATGACCTGGGTGACCCCCGAGGACCGAGTGGCATGGAGGACGCACCGCCGATACCACACGCTGCCGACCATGCCGCCCTACCGAGACGCCAACCTTCTACGCGACCGACCTCAGAGCCCTTGCACGGCATCACGACTGGTCCCACCGCGCAAACCACTCCGCCCCCCCACCGCCGGCAGCCCGCGGGGGCGGCTTCAGCCCCCCCGCAGGGTACTAAACCAGACAGGCCCTCGTGCCCCATCCACGCTTCCATCGTTGCTGAGCGAGAGGAAGCGGCTCCCCCGACCTCTCGGGGCGTGGCCCTAGCGGCTCCAGCCCTGGGGTCGCGTCGGCCCCTCCAATCACCCTTCAAGGGTGACGGACGTCAGCGTACAGGGTCCCGCACTACGCTAGTCCACCATTTGGACAGGCGTACCGAGGACCTCGCCTCTGTCTCGAGGCCCTCGGCTGCTGGCACTGAGCAGCCACCCCTCACCGACCGCGAAACCGAGCTGTCACAGGCTATGGCTGCCCTCCAGCAGAGGTGCTTAGCTCTCGCCGCGGACCTCGCCGCCGCCCAAGCTCGTCAAGGCCCTCTACTCCAGCGCCTCCACAGTGCTGGGCGAGCCTTTGCCGAGCTGCTCACGGCCTCGCCCGATGGTGCCGTGCCGTCACTCAACATCCAAGCTATGTTGTCATCGTTCCGCGGCGCTCCACCTGGTGCCCCGCGCTAATCTCCTCCTTTCTGCCTGCCCGTGTGTACGCGTGGCTCCGCGTCCACGGTGTCAGGGCGCGGGGGCGGGGGGTGCCCCGTCACTGCGCGCCGCTTAGCGGCCAAGCGCCCAACTGGCGGTCTGCCAAGCCGCCTAGCCACGTGTCAGCACGTCGCCTTTCTTGTTGGGGCCTTTTTCCTCACGCGGTCTGACAGGTGAGATCATCATCGTCTGTCCGCCGTCTGTAGCGTCTGTCGCACTGCGCCGGGGGAGGGGTTTTTTGTTGCCCGCCCTCGTATCTAAAGGCTGCACCGCCGCAAATAGTGCATGCGAGTTGTCGCACCGCAGTGCGCCTCGCGGACGGACCCTGGTCCGCCTACTTGTCCGATCTCTCTCTCTCTCTCTCTCTCTCTCTCTCTCTCTCTCGCTCTCTCGCTCTCTCTCTCTCTCTCTCTCTGTCGCTCTCTCTCTCTCTCTCTCTCTCTCTCTCTCTCTTCTCTTCTCCTTCTCTCTCTCTCTCTCTCTCTCTCCCTCTCTCTCTCTCTCTCTCTCTCTCTCTCTCTCTCTCTCTCTCTCTCTCTCTCTCTCTCTCTCTCTCTCTCTCTCTCTCTCTCTCCTCTCTCCTCTCTCTCCCTCCCCCCCCTCTCTCTCTCTCTCTCCCTTTCTCTCCCCATATCTCTCCCCCTCTCCTTTTTTTCTCTCTCACTCTCCCTCTCTATCTCTCTTCCTGTCTCTCTCCCCGGTCTCTCCCTATCTCCACCCTCCATTTCAATTCACCTGGTCCGCCGCTGGACACATATGTAAATGCAACTATACCCTGGATGGTGCCTGATCTCAAGCCCCCTCGCGTCGTCCGCGACGTTCTCCAGGGCCCCCCCCAGCGACGACCGCCCTGCAATTATGGCCACCTCCTCCAGCGCCGCCGCCTCTGCGTCGGGCCACGAGCCGAGAACGACCATCTTCCTCCATCGAAGGCAGTGGCCATCCGTCCACCCGCGGCGCCCTGACCTCCAGCTCGGCCCGCCCCGCCACCGCCACTCAGGGTCAGATGAGGAACCAATGCACGCGCCCCTTAGCCCCGCGCAGTGGCGGCGGAGGGTCTCGCCCACCCGCCATCGCAACTCGTTAGCGCTAACGCCCAACAATGGGCCTAGGTCCGTCGCGACGATCTCAGCATGAAGACGCGTGGCGCGCGCAATGACGTCGAGGCTATCGCTCTGGGCATATTCCCATTGTAGATCTCTGGCGGTCAGTAAAGCGGGTGGCATTGCTCGCAAGGCGAAGAAAAAATCATGCTGCGAGCCCTGAGGATGCCCCTCTCGGAGGGCTTCCTCAGGGCCCCTTCTTCTCCTGTCGTGGCTCCCCGCGCGCGGCGCGACAATGCCGCCCGAAAAACAGACCGCCTGAAGCTCGCGTCGTTCTTCTGGAGCGAGGGGGCGGGCCCACCTTCCGAAAAAGGAAGCGAACGAGGACCCAGCAGTCGCTCCGCCGGCGGCCGCCGCTGTCGCCGCTGCCAAGCCTGCGTCCTCCACGGGCGCTGCGTCCGCCGCGCCCACGTCCCCCACGTCGTCCTCCACCACGTCTGCCACGACGTCCGGCGCGCCTGCGCCCTGCGCCCACTGACCAGGGGGGGGCGCGCTCGGCGACCGCCGCGGGGCCAGCGGCAGCCACGCCGCCAGCCCTGGCAGCGCGGGCTGCGCCTGCCACGTGGGCTGCTGCAGCGCTGGCCGCGTCAGCCGCGCTGCTGGCCCCTCCTACAGTGCAAGCCCATCTGTCAGCGCGGTTAGCCCCAACCGCGCCAGCCACGTCAGCTCCAGCGCCTGCTGTGGCAGCTGCGTCGGCCCCCCCTCCAGCGTCTGCCCCGCTGTTAGCGTTATTAGCCCCAGCAGTCGCGTTGGTCGCAATGCCACTGTTAGCCCCAACAATGTTGAGGCAGTCGTTCAAACGACGACGCACCTGTCGTTGGCGCTGCCTGCGAGCTGCAGCGTCGCCATCATCCAGCTGGGGACTTCTGGCCAGCAGGCCTGCAGCGAACCATGGCTCAGGCGTGGCTGCAGCGAGGCGCGGCGGCCTCGCAGGCGAGGCAGGCGAAGTGAAAGCGCGGCTGCGCACTGTGCGGACGACGCCTGGCGCCGACGATGCAGCTGCAGGCGCCAGCAGTGCAGATGCCGGCGCCGGCTCAGCGGCAGGCGCTGGCGACGCAGCAGTCCAGCGCGCGAGCCCCGGGCGGGCTGCCTGCTCCTCCGCGCCCTCGTCGTCCGACAGCAGTAGCCCCAGCAGTTGATCTCCAAGCCTGGCCCTGCTTAGCGCCGGGCGAGCTGGCCGCTGAACACCGCCATCATCGCCCGACAGCAATAGCCCCAGCAGCTCATCTCCAAGACTGGCCATCTACGCTGAGATCGCTGCGCGAGCCAAAACGGCCGCGGGGAAGCAGCGCAAGCTGCGCGGGGCGACGAGGAAGAGAAGGAGGTGGTGGGAGGAGGGGGAGGAGGAGGAGGAGGAGGGGAGGCTGAGACACAAGAGGCAACGGGGATTGGAGGTGGAGGAGGAGGAGGCGGAGGAGGAGGAGGAGGGGGAGGAGGAGGAGGAGGAGGAGGAGGAGGAGGAGGATGGCGGGGGCGCGGGATGCCCGCCTGCTGCGCCCCCATTGTCGCAGCGTCGCATTGGACGCCGCAACAAGGGGGAGGGGATAGCGAGGAGCGAGGGTCAGCAGCGAGCCCACTGGGGGCCCTCTCCATGGAACCCTCCTCTTGCTCAGAGTATTGGGGGGGGCCTCTTGGGGCCGCCTTCCTGTGGGCATCGATCAATCAGATGCAGCGGTGGTGGTGGTGGTGGCGGTGGTGGCGGGGGGCTTAAAGACCCCTTCCCCCCCCCCCCCCCCCCACGCACGCGCGCGCACACACACGCGCACACACACATGCACACACACAAACACAACTACAAACACACACACACGCACACACACACACACACACACACGCACACACACACACACACACACCACCCCCCACCCAGGACACACGCACACGCGCACACGCACGCACGCACGCACGCGCACACGCACGCGCACACACATACAAACACACACACACACACGCACACGCACGCACGCACGCACGCATGCACGCACACACACTCTCACACACACTCTCACACACACACACACACACAGACACAGACACACACACACACACACACACACGCACACTTCTCTCTCCGGGGCGATCGATTTCGCTTCCTGGGCGGCTTTGACTAAATAATATCAATATTTTTCATAGCGGGAACGCAAAATAAAACAGTGCTTCTCAGAGGAGGGCCCTGAAAGTACGCGACAACATTTCTCAGGCAGGGCACCTCGGAGCATGTTGGAAGCCATATCTGGCGATCTGCGGTGCGGTGGGACGGAGGAGGAGGCCATCTGGGGGCATCACTGGCGGCCCTCGTCCTTTCGCCATCTTGGGCAATCTTTGGCGCTCTAAAGAATCGGCCAAACCCTTGCCGCCTTATACATGTGTATGAGTATGTATATATGTATATATATATATATATATAAGTTTGTATAGGTCCAGGGGGGGGGGGGGAGGGGGAGAGGTAAAAAACCAGGTCCAGAGGGGGGGGGGTAGGAGGGGGAGGGGTAAAAAAAACCCTCCCAAGGGGAAGAAGGAGGTTGGAAGAGGAAACTCTTTAGGCCACCTACGCCCTAAAGGGCCGGTGGGATTCGCTAGTAGACAGACCACCTGCGGCCAGAGGGCGGCGGCAATAGTCGCGGTGGCGTTGGAGCGGCGGCACTGGTGGCGGGAGCGGCGGCAGTGGCGGTAGCAGAGCGGCAGTGACTGGGGCGGGGCGGCAGTGGTGGTGGTGGTGGCGGCGGCGGCGGTTGGCGGCGGCAGCGAGCAGCAGCGGCGGCGGCGGGCTGCTTCTTCGCCCTGCCCTCCCTGTGGCCCAGGTGGGCAGCGCTGGGCGGGCGCTGCTGGGCCTGCCGGCGACTGGTGGCGCGCAGGCGTCGCTCGAGAAGGCGTTGTTGCTGGGGCTAATAATCACTGCCGCCCCCCCCCCCCTCCCCCGCAGCAGCCGCCGCCCCCCCCCGCCTCCCATGGCGGTTGGCGGTGGCGCGGGGTCGAGGCAGGGGGGGGCGGCGGCTCGTTGGGCGGGCTAGAAGGTGGCGTACGACATGCTGATCGGCGACGCCCCGGTGCCTGGGTGGTCCGATCCGCAATCGCAGCAGGACTTGCTGGTTGGGAAAGACAAGGGGGGGCTGGTAGGTAGCTCCCCCTTAACCCTGGGCCCCTCCTCCCCCAGAGGCCGCTTGCTACCAACAACCTGGGGTAGTGGGGGCAGGATGGGCCGGCCGCCTGCTACAAACCTGGGGCTAGACATCATCCCCCCTGCCTGGCCACCTCGCGAGGACCAGCTGGAGACCCGGGTCTTGGAGGCGCTAAGCGCGGAGCACCGGCGGCGCCAGTGGGCGGCGGTGGTCAAGGAAGACCGCCGTCTCGCGACCTTGCCGCGCGTGCACTGGCTGTCGACTTATCCGAATAATCTCATTCCATCGAAGCTCTTGACGGGGTGGGGCATGAACTGGTGGCTCGGCGGCGTGGCGGCTGTGCAGGATAGGGCTAATAGCTTGGACTGGGACATCCTGGTGGACTGCCTCGGCGCCGGGCCTGGAGGCGGGGTGCGGCAGTGGGCGGCAGGGCTAAGGGACCCAGTCCACTTGCCAGCATCGTGGAGTTACCGCGGGGTCGCGCAGCAGCTGAGGGGTGCGATAAGAACCCTGGCTGCGGCGCCGCGTGGGGCTAAGGTGCTCATCTTCTGCCGCCAGGGGGAGTGCCGGTCGGCGTGCGTGGCTGCTGTGTGTCTCTGCGCCACGGGGCTAATGAGGGTTGAGCAAGCGGTGCGCCTCGCGCGCGCGAGCCGCCCCCAGGCCCTCCCACCTGGCAACTCGCGCGCCATGGAGGACATCGCGAAACTCGAGAAGCTCTGGGAGAACGAGGGCGAGGCGCTAAGGCATGCGGCTGCGGCAGGCGCCGCCAGGGCTCGCGGGCGGCTGGGGGGTGAGGAGGGGGAGGGAGGAGGGGGAGGAGGAGAAGGAGGAGGAGGAGGAGGGCGACGACGACGAGGACGAGGGCGAGAACGAGAAGGACGAGGACAAGGTGGAGGAGGAGGACGAGGAGGGAGGAGGAGGAGGGAGGAGGACGAGGTGAGGAGGAGGGAGGAGGAGGAGAAGGAGGAGGAAGAGGACGAGGAGGACAAGGAGAGGGGGGAAGAGGAGGAGCAGGAACGCGAGGGGTCGGAAGAGAAATAGGAGGAGGAGGATGGGGGGGGGAGGAGGATAAGGAGGAAGAGGACAAGGGGGATGATGACGAGGACAGGGGGGGAGGAGGAGTGGACGGGCAGGAGGAGGCGGGGGAGGAGGAAGACGATGAGAGGGGACGATGATGTGATGAGGAGGTGAAGAGGAGGAAGAGGAGGAGGGGAAAAAGAGGAGGAGGCAGATGATGAGGGGGCGTAGTTCGTTCCAGGCAGAGCGATGAGGGGGGGGGCCCTGCTGCTGTCCCCCCTGTCTTCCATCTCCATCTCCTCGTCCTCCTCGTCCTCCTCGTCCTCCTCCTTCTCGTCCTCCTCGCCCCCCCCAACTTGGCTCCTCCTCCTCCCCCCCTCACCTGCTGCTGCTGCCCCCCTCCCCCAGGCTTCGACGAAGCCCAGTTGCCCTTGGGGGGGGCCGCCGTCACCGTGGCCTTCGAGCGCGGGTGCGCTCGCGTGAAGGGCGAGAGGGAGGCGGGGGGCTAAGTTTCGGCGGGGCGCCGCCGCCGCGGGCGCCGCCGGAGCTAAGGTATAAGCGGACAGACGGCGCCTGGTTGCCGCAGCGAATTTGGGAGAAAAGGTGGAAGAGACATAGATAGGGAGTAAGAGGGGGGAGGAAAGGGGGGGGGAGGAGGAGGAGGAGGAGGAGGAGCAGGATGAGGAGCCTCCCCCTGACGACGAGACGACTACCATGCTTTTTATACCCGAAGGCTAGGGGCAAGAAACAGTACCGAGTTCAAAGGCAAACAAGACGACGCGTCAATCATCTTCTTGTGCTTTCCATCGGCGGGCTTTAGCAACACCACGCCAGTGCCCTCGCCGCCCCCCCCCCCAAAAAAAAAAAAGAGGGCCCCAGGGGGGGCATCATCTATAGGCAGGGGGATGCGCTTGTCCAAGGCAAGCGCATATTCAATTATTAAATGAGAGGAGGAGGAGCAGGAGGAGGGGCCAGGAAGAGAGAGGAGCAGGAACAGGAAGAAAGGAGCAAGTCATATTTGACTCGACATGATTTCCTGGCGCGTTCCCCCGCAGATTGGATTCCATGTGATCTTAGCCCATCCATGCGATCTTAGCCCCCATCGCGCGTTCAATTCCATTAGATCCCATGCCCCCCAGCAAGTGAATGAGAGCCCCAGGAGGGTTGAATCCTAGGTGCCAGATGCAGGTGGGCTAGGTGCCAGTTAGCGCGGTTAGACTTTCCTGCCCGACAGTGGGCCGTCGGCTGATCTTGTCGCCAGCGTTGTCGCTGTCCACCATGACCAGGATGGGCAAAGGACTGCCCCCGGCGAGGTGCTTGTCCCTGCGGAGCACCTGCACCGCCCGAGGCCTTCCTTTCAGGTATCTCGCCAATCGCTTCAGCCGTGCCATGTCGACCTGCTTCGGGCTCTGTATGTGCTTAGCAAAATTCTTCACTCGCCGATGTCAGCCCGATCTGGTGCTAAGTGCGACGCGCGCATGGTCGCGCTGCGGTGCAAGCGGATGTCGTCACCGACGAGCGGGGGCGAAGCTAACCGCTCCTCCGCTTCGGCCTCCTCCTTCTTCAATCCAGGAACATCTAGCGTCGTAGCGGATTCTTGTTCGAGGCCCATGTCGCGAACTATCATCTCTGCGCGCCGCGGATCTGCTTCGACCTCGAAACGCTCCTCTCCTGGGCTTCCTGTGACACGTAAAATCCTGTTTAAGAAAACAACCTCCTGCTCCTCTCCAGAACCGAGCGTGAAACGACCTGTCACCTTCAAGTCGTATTTCTTCCGCAAAATGTGCTCGATCTGGTCCTGGGCGTCGTCGTCGCCCATGGCGCAGAAGTCGTCTCCGTGCACTAAAGACCGACAGTCGTCGACCTTCTTGTAGAACAGGGCCGGGTTCGCCTTCCCTGCCTCGTGCCCGTCCTGCTTGAGCACTGCTGTGTGGTCTCGCTGCCAGATGGCAGACGCGTCCTGGGTGCCGTACATGCTCTTCTTCAAGAGTGCACAGTGAACGCCGTCCTGCTCCTCCTCTGGCAGCTCCACGCACACCGTCCTCTCGGCCAGGCCGTAGAAATGGGCACGCGGAATCTCGAATAATCTCATCCCTAGAGGCTTACCCCGTTCGCTGCTCCTGTTCTGCACCATCAGGCCTCCTAGCATCTTTACTGCTTCCAGGGGCGGCATTGCTGAAAACAACAACGCTGCAGGCAACTTGCGCCCTTCTTCTCCCTGACCTCGCTTCTCGCGCACGACGATGCGAGACCGGTAGTTCGGTCGCTCGTTGTCGCCCTTGTTGGTGTCGAGCCACAAACGGATTGGCTTCGCACCTGTCACCTCCGGGCACTCCTCGAGAGTCCTCTTCTCGTACACCTCCTGTCGGCGGAGCCAGGAGCCATCCTACCTCCTCCTCCCTAGCCTTCCTCACCATGGCGGGGTCTAGCCAACCTCCGTTGACGTCGTCACAGTACCTCTCGCTCTCCTCCAACAGCGATCTGCCCTGCTCGTAGGCGTCGGGCTCGGTGGGCACTGGGCCGGCCGTAGCCGCCGCCAGGCCAGAGAGGGATCCATCCTTCTTCATGGATTCCTTTACTGCTCGTAGGACGCACCGCGGCAGCATCGGAGGATGCGCCTGTGCCTTGCGAGCTACACCCCCTGTCAGCATCACATGTTGGTGCTGCTCTGGCCCCGCGTCGCCGGGGCACCCTTTCTTGAACTCCAGCGCAAGCTCTGGCAAGTTGGTCATGAATCCCGTTCGCCTCCGGATAAACCCCGGCACGCCGGAAAGGGGCTGATCTTGCGCACCAGGCTTCGCGCCCCACTTGCACATGGCTCCTCTGGCCCTCTCCGCGGCGCCCTGCTGCAGCAGCTCCGAGATGCCTGGTGTCTCCCAGCTGCTGTCGTCGTGGGGGTGCTCGTGTAAGAAGTACCGGCCCCGCGCCATCTGCCTCCGGTAGCTCTCACAAGCCACTTCAAGATGACGCTCGGCAACGTGCTGCTCCTCGAGCGCCTGCTCGGCGTCCCGCTTGAGCCGGGATATGCCCTGTAAGTCCGAGAGCGCCGTAGAAGGAGGCGAACCAATGAGGAAGTGCGGACCCTCGCGCTCAAGCGTCTCGAACCACTCCTTTACGTCGCTCTCCTTCGCAAAGTCCCAGTGCCCTCCGTTCGGTTTCTCTGCCTCCATGTCTGCGCTCACCCCAGGCCTGAGACCCAGACGGCGCGCGAGCGCAACGCGCCTCGGAGGCGGGCACAGCTCGTGGACATCAACGGCTCCCAGCTCCAAGCTCAGATGGGTGATGTCCTCCAGCTCTTCCGCCGAGAGGTCCACCTCGTTCCGGCGACAAGCAAGAACGATGCTCCTCCGATACTCCTTCCTCAATTCCTCCTTCCTCGTCGTCGTCATGCTGCTCATGTCTACGTCTCCTCCCGTCGCCGCCGGAGCGGAGCCTCCCGCAGTCGCGGCGCCTGGCACCTCTGCAGACGCAGCACTGGCCCCTGTGGCCGGAGCCGGGCCTCCAGGAAGCCCTGACGACGCAGCCGGAGCGGTGCCGCCCGCTTCCGGCGCCTCTGGCGGCAACGACACGTCCATGTCGTCGTCTGCCGTCCTCTGGCCAGCTCTGTCAGCCGACCTGCTCCTCGACCTCTCGTCGAGCCCCTGGCCAATCGCGACGGCAACCGGCCTTCCGCGAGGCCGCTCGTCGCCAGGCGGTGGCGGCGCCTGTGCTGCAGCCGGCGGCATGGGTAGCACGCCTGCCGCTGAAGCCGCGGAGCCTCCCGCAGGCCCCTGTTCCTCTACTCGGGCTCGTTTCGCCCTGCGCGCGTCCAGCCTACGCCGGCCCACGTCGTCCTCCTTCATCATGCTAGCCATCCGCTGAGAGCACTCTGCTGCGCGCGCGCGCCCTGCCGGCAGGCCACGCATGATGTTCAGACACGCTGGACACAACGGTGTCCCTCCGAATCGCTCCACGTCCGCCTTCAGTACGTAGAGTTTCCTGGGTCCTGGCACTCCTCCTCCGCCACCTCCTACTCCTCCTCGTCCTCCTGCTACAGGTTGAGGGGGTAGTGGCGGATTTGCCGACCCGGCAGCCTCCCGGCCTGCCAGCAAGGGCCTCCCTGGAGCGGGGCTAACCGCATCCGGGGGCTCCATTTCCCAAGGCGCCCCACGCGCCTGGCTTAGCCCAGCGGGTTTCCAGCGTTCCTCCGCCGTCATCTTATTGTAGGTCTTGCCTCGCAAAACCCCCTTGGTGGTCATCACCAGCAGACTGCCAGTCCGCGTCTGGTGGCCGACGTACCACCCTCTATCATTTTAGGAGCCATGCCGCTCCGCGGCTCCTCCTGCGCGAGCCTCGCGTGAATCCGTTCGCCGAATTCCAACGCCGACTTCGCCCGGCGCCTTCCTGTGCGCCTTTGCTCGGAAGACCTCCCGTCCTCGCCGATACGGCATCTACTGAGACACGCAGCAGCATGTCGTGGCAGCCACGTCCAAATCGGATGGTGCAGCGGTAGCCGCGCACCGATCCTGTCCTCGAGCGTCTCCTTCTGCGCACGCGCAGTGCGTTTCACCTCCTTGACCGCGTTCTCAGCCTCATCGTTCGCTGCGTGGTCTCCTACAGGAGACTCCTGCATGACAATCTCCACTGTCTGCATCTGGTCAGCCACAGCTTGCTTCAAGGCTACAAGGCTGCGTTCGCCGTCTGACCGGCTCACGTGCCTCTTCCAACCGAGCTCCTTCAAGTAGCCCGCGAAGAACTTCGCAGGGCACGGGTGCACTCCCTTCTGGGGCACTGCCGTCGCCGCATACCCCTTGGCACGGCGATCCCTTATCACCAGCGTCGGCAACGCTGTGTCCTCACTGCCGTCGTCGGCCAAGTAACCGTAGTCAGTGCACACAACAGGATCAGCTGTTTCCGGGTCCTCCTGTCGGGCTCGGTGCTGTTCGCCGATGCCCCGTGCTGCCTGGCAGTGGCGGCGAAACCTGAACTGAGCATGTCCCATGCCGTAATGCTCATCCACCTCTTGCGCACTCGGCGCTCGAGGCCCTGTCCGGATTTTCACATCCGGCGCTTCCTCCCCGACGCCTTCTGGAGGCAATGGGGGTTCTGGGGCGGGGCTACCCGCATCCGGGGCCGGGGCGGAGCCACCCGCACCCGGCTCACCCTCCAACTTCCCCACGGGCACTGGCCCTGCCGCCGGAAACCCGGCGACAGGCCAAGCGGCGCGATGTCTTCCGCGCGCTCCACCTTCATGTAGAAGTCGTAGACGCCCCTCTCTCCGTACACTGGCATGAGCGAGTCGTCGCCGAAACGCCTCGCCAGGCGATCGAGCTCCTTCTGCAGCATCTCCCCGACGCGGCCGTCCTTGGGGATCACGTGCCCCCCGTCTGCGCTTAACCATATCAGCTGGCGTCCCTTCTCGCGCACTTGGGACGCTGATGCCGATATCTTGCGCACGTCGCTCCTCCTACCAGTGATGCACCTTCGGGCGTCGTTCTCGTCCTTGCAGTGCAGACGAACGCCTCCGTAG